GTGTTCGGGCATCCTGAAGGTAATACCCGGGTATTAGGTTATGGGGCTTTGGAAAGTTTTAGGGTTTTTGGCATTAGGGTTAAAATCACTATCCGAAACCTTTGTAGGAACTCTTTTCCAACAGTTCGGAGTTAGTTAGACCAAAAAAAAAAAGAAAAATTAAATAAAAAATATTTGGGGTGTTCAGGCTTCCTGAAGGTAATACCCGGGTATTAGGTTATGGGGCTTAGGAAAAGTTTAAGGTTTTTGGCGTTAGGGTTAAAATCACTGTCCAAAACCTTTGTAGGAACTCTTTTCCAACCTTTTGGAGTCAATTAGACCAAAAAAAAAAATGAAAATTGAAAAAAAAAAATATTTGGGGTTTTCAGGCTTCCTGGAGGTAATACCCGGGTATTAGGTTATGGGGCTATGGTAAGGTTTAAGGTTTTTTGCGTTAGGGTTATAATCACTTTCCATAACCTTTGTAGGAACTCTTTTCCAACCTTTTGGAGTTAGTCAGAACAAAAAAAAGATAAAAAATAAAAAATATATATTTGGGGTGTTCGGGCTTCCTGAAGGTAATACCCGTATTAGGTTATGGGGCTACGGTAAGGTTTACGGTTTTTGGTGCTAGGGTTAAAATCACTGTCCAAAAACCTTTTTAGGAACTCTTTTCCAACCTTTTGGAGTTAGGTAGACCAAAAAAAAAAGAAAAAGAAAAAAATATTATTTGGGGTTTTCGGGCTTCCTGAAGGTAATACCCGGGTATTAGGTTTTGGGGCCAGGGTAAGGTTTGAGGTTTTTGGCATTAGGGTTAAAATCACTGTCCAAAACCTTTTTAGGAACATGTTTCAGACCTTTTGGAGTATGTACAGCAAAAAAAAAAGTAAAATGAAAAAATAATATTTGGGGTGTTCGGGCTTCCTGAAGGTAATACCCGGGTATTAGGTTATGGGGCTATGGTAAGTTTTAAGGTTTTTGGCATTAGGGTTAAAATCACTTCCCAAAACCTTTGTAGGAACTGTTTTCCAACCTTTTGGAGTTAGTTAGACAAAAAAAATGAAAAATGAAAAGAAAATATTTGGGGTGTTCGGGCTTCCTGAAGGTAATACATGGGTATTATGTTATGGAGCTTTGGAAAGGTTTAAGGTTTTTGGCATTAGGGTTAAAATCAATGTCCAAAACCTTTGTAGGAACTCTTTTCCAACCTTATGGAGTTAACTAGACCAAACAAAAAAAGAAAAATGAAATAAAAAATATGCGGGGTGTTCGGGCTTCCTGAAGGTTTTACCCGGGTATTAGGCTATGGGGATTAGGAAACATTTAAGGTTGGTATTAGGGTTAAAATCACTGTCCAGAACCTTTTTAGGAACATGTTTCAGACCTTTTGGAGTTGGTTACACACAAAAAAAAAAAAAAGTAAAATGAAAAAAAAAAATAATTTGGGGTGTTCGGGCTTCCTGAAGGTGATACCCCGGTATTAGATTATGGGGCTATGGTAAGGGTTAAGGTTTTTGGCGTTAGGGTTAAAATCACTGTCCAAAACCTTTGTAGGAACTCTTTTCCAACCTTTTGGAGTTAGTTAGACCAAAAAAAAGATGAAAAAATATATATATATATTTGTGGTTTTTGGGCTTCCTGAAGGTAATACCCGGGTATTAGGTTATGGGGCTATTGAAAGTTTTAGTGTTTTTGGCATTAGGGTTAAAATCACTGTCCAAAACCTTTGTAGGAACTCTTTTCCAACATTTCGGAGTTCGTTAGACCAAAAAAAAGATGAAAAAATATATATATATATTTGGGGTGTTCGGGCTTTCTTAAGGTAATACCCGGGTATTGAATTATGGGGCTATGGTTAGGTTTAAGGTTTTTGGTGTTAAGGTTAAAATCACTGTCCAAAACCTTTGTAGGAACTCTTTTCCAAGCTTTTGGAGCTGGTTACACTAAAAAAAATGTAAAATGAAAAAAAAATATTTGGGGTGTTCGGGCTTCCTGAAGGTAATACCCGGGTATTAGGTTATGGGGCTATGGTAAGTTTTAAGGTTTTTGGCGTTAGGGTTAAAATCACTGTCCAAAACCTTTGTAGGAACTCTTTTCCAACCTTTTGGAGTTAGTTAGACCAAAAAAAAAAAAAAAAAGGAATAAAAAATATTTGTGGTTTTCGGGCTTCCTGAAGGTAATACCCGGGTATTAGGTTTTGGGGCTAGGGTAAGGTTTGAGGTTTTTGGCATTAGGGTTAAAATCACTGTCCAAAACATTTTTAGGAACATGTTTCAGACCTTTTGGAGTTTGTACACCAAAATAAAAAAGTAAAATGAAAAAAAAATATTTGGGGTGTTCGGGCTTCCTGAAGGCAGTTTATGTATCAGGTTATGGGGCTATGGTAAGGTTTTAGGTTTTTGGCGTTAGGGTTAAAATCAATGTCCAAAACCTTTGTGGGAACTCTTTTCCAAGCTTTTGGAGTTAGTTAGACCAAAAAAACATGAAAAATTAAAAAATATATATTTGGGGTGTTCGGGCATCCTGAAGGTAATACGCGGGTATTAGTTTTTGGGGCTAAGGTAAGGTTTAAGGTTTTTGGCGTGAGGGTTAAAATCACTGTCCAAAACCTTTGTAGGAACTCTTTTCCAACCTTTTGGAGTCAGTTACACCAAAAAAAAAATGTAAAATGAAAAAAATAATAATTTGGGGTGTTCGGGCTTCCTGAAGGTAATACCCCGGTATTAGATTATGGGGCTATGGTAAGGGTTTAAGGTTTTTGGCGTGAGGGTTAAAATCACTGTCCAAAACCTTTGTAGGAACTCTTTTCCAACCTTTTGGAGTTAGTTAGACCAAAAAAAAAAGAAAAAAGGAATAAAAAATATTTGGGGTTTTCGGGCTTCCTGGAGGTAATACCCGGGTATTAGGTTATGGGGCTATGGTAAGGTTTAAGGTTTTTGGCGATAGGGTTAAAATAACTTTCCAAAACCTTTTTAGGAACATGTTTCAGACCTTTTGGAGTTGGTTACACCAAAAAAAAATGTAAAATGAAAAAAAAATATTTGGGGTGTTCGGGCTTCCTGAAGGTAATACCCAGGTTATGGGGCTATGGTAAGGGTTCAGTTTTTTGGCGTTAGGGTTAAAATTATTGTCCAAAACCTTTGTAGGAACTCTTTTCCAACCTTTTGGAGTTAGTTAGACCAAAAAAAAAAGAAAAATGAAAAAAAAATATTTGGGGTTTTCGGGCTTCCTGAAGGTAATACCTGGGTATTAGGTTATGGGGCTTAGGAAAGGTTTAAGGTTTTTGGCGTTAGGGTTAAAATCACTGTCCAAAAACCTTTGTAGGAACTCTTTTCCAACCTTTTGGAGTTAGGTAGACCAAAAAAAAAAGAAAAAAGAAAAAAAAATATTTGGGGTTTTCTGGCTTCCTGAAGGTAATACCCGGGTATTAGGTTTTGGGGCTAGGGTAAGGTTTCAGGTTTTTGGCGTTAGGGTTAAAATGACTGTCCAAAACCTTTTTAGGAACATGTTTCAGATCTTTTGCAGTTGGTTAAACCAAAAAAAAAAAGTAAAATGAAAAAAAAATATTTGGGGTGTTCAGGCTTCCTGAAGGTAATACCCGGGTATTAGGTTATGGGGCTATAGTAAGGTTTAAGGTTTTTGAAGTTAGGGTGAAAATAACTGTCCAAAACCTTTGTAGGAACTCTTTTCCAACCTTATGGAGTTCGTTAGACCAAAAAAAAAAGAAAAATAAAAAAAAAATATTTGGGGTGTTCGGGCTTCCTGAAGGTAATAGGAAATTGGAAAGGTTTAAGGTTTTTGGCGTTAGGGTTAAAATCACTGTCCAAAAACCTTTGTAGGAACCCTTTTCCAAGAAAAATGAAAAAAAAATATTTGGGGTGTTCGGGCTTCCTGAAGGTAATAGGAATAGGAAAGGTTTAAGGTTTTTGGCGTTAGGGTTAAAATTACTGTCCAAAAACCTTTGTAGGAACTCTTTTCCAACCTTTTGGAGTTAGGTAGACCAAAAAAAAAAGAAAAACGAAAAAAAAATATTTGGGGTGTTCAGGCTTCCTGAAGGTAATACCCGGGTATTAGGTTTTGGGGCTAGGGTAAGGTTTGATGTTTTTGGCATTAGGGTTAAAATCACTGTCCAAAACCTTTTAGGAACATGTTTCAGACCTTTTGGAGTTTGTACACCAAAAAAAAAAATGTAAAATGAAAAAAAAATATTTAGGGTGTTCGGGCTTCCTGAAGGTAATACCCGGGTATCAGGTTATGGGACTATGGTAAGGTTTAAGGTTTTTGGCGTTAGGGTTAAAATCACTGTCCAAAACCTTTGTAGGAACTCTTTTCCAACCTTTTGGAGTCAGTATGACCAAAAAAAATTTAAAAAAAAAAAAAAAAAAAATATTTGGGGTGTTCGGGCTTCCTGAAGGTAATACCCGGGTATTAGGTTATGGGGCTTAGGAAAGGTTTAAGGTTTTTGGCGTTAGGGTTAAAATCACTGTCCAAAACCTTTTTAGGAACACGTTTCAGACCTTTTGGAGTTTGTACACCAAAAAAAAATGTAAAATGAAAAAAAAATATTTGGGGTGTTCGGGCTTCCTGAAGGTAATATTAGGTTATGGGGCTATGGTAAGGTTTAAGGTTTTTGTTGTTAGGGTTAAAATCACTGTCCAAAACCTTTGTAGGAACTCTTTTCCAACCTTTTGGAGTCAGTTAGACCAATAAAAAATAAAAAAAATAAAAAAAATTTATTTGGGGTGTTCGGGCTTCCTGAAGGTAATACCCGGGTATTAGATTATGGGGCTATGGTAAGGTTTAAGGTTTTTGGCGATAGGGTTAAAATCACTGTCCAAAACCTTTGTAGGAACTCTTTTCCAACCTTTTTGAGTCAGTTAGACCAAAAAAAAATTAAAAATGAAAAAAAAATATTTGGGGTGTTTGGGCTTCCTGAAGGTAATACCCTAATATTACGTTATGGGGCTATGGTAAGGTTTAAGGTTTTTGGCGATAGGGTTAAACTAACTGTCCAAAACCTTTTTAGGAACATGTTTCAGACCTTTTGGAGTTGGTTACACCAAAAAAAAAAGTAAAATGAAAAAAAAATATTTGGGGTGTTCGGGCTTCCTGCAGTTATTAGGTTATGGAGCTATGGTAAGGGTTCAGTTATTTGGCGTTAGGGTTAAAATTATTGTCCAAAACCTTTGTAGGAACTCTTTTCCAACCTTTTGGAGTTAGTTAGACCAAAAAAAAAAAGAAAAATGAAAAAAAAATATTTGGGGTGTTTGGGCTTCCTGAAGGTAATACCCGGGTATTAGATTATGGGGCTATGGTAAGGTTTAAGGTTTTTGGCGATAGGGTTAAAATCACTGTCCAAAACCTTTGTAGGAACTCTTTTCCAACCTTTTTGAGTCAGTTAGACCAAAAAAAAATTAAAAATGAAAAAAAAATATTTGGGGTGTTTGGGCTTCCTGAAGGTAATACCCTAATATTACGTTATGGGGCTATGGTAAGGTTTAAGGTTTTTGGCATTTGGGTTAAAATCACTGTCCAAAACCTTTGTAGGAACTCTTTTCCAAGCTTTTTGAGTTAGTTAGACCAAAAAAAAAAGAAAAATGAAATAAAAAATATTTGGATTGCAAAAATATATCAAGGTCCAAAGATGGTGTGCGCACTTGTCCGTGGTCATTTACCATTATAATGAATGGGAGGCGCAGTTTCTACCAAAACACTTGCTGCAGACAAACTTCATGACCTATATGAAAAAAGTCTGGACCATGAGTGAGGGCACAGCTAGTATATATCCAAATGGCAAGTTTCTCCTCCTTTCGGTTTTGCAGAGAGAGTGGTGTGTTTGAGCCATTGAGCGATGGGCAGGAAAAACTTGACTTTTTCTCCTGCCTTGGGGGGGGCGCTCTTTTGGTGAGAAAAAAATTACTTCACAAATGTGTTGATGGCTGAACATTGCATCATCCTAGAAAACTTGGATGAGTGGCCAAAACTTCTTTGTCTGCTGTAAAATCAAATTGGATTAATATTTTTTCCAGATTTTTTTTTTGTACATCTCTTATTTTACTTCTGCCCAGGGGCGGATCTACTGGGGTGGCATGGGGTGGCAGGTGCCACCCTAAAATTAACCCTTGCCACCCCTGCTGCCACCCCAACCGGCAGCAATGAACCGGTAGAAAAATGTAACAGGTACGAGCGCGAAGTTCCGATGTCCGACGACAGTGAATGCAGCACGAGAGAGCGCGAGAGCGACACGAGACTTCTTTGGTGGGAGAGGCGCGAACTTACAGTCTATGGGCTCGAAGCGAGAGAGTGACAGAGACAGAAAAAGGCACGAGGAAAGAGGTAAAAGCCATTTTCAGGCATGAAAATCTCTCACCTTTCGGCGAAATTCGCCGTTTAGAAGTCAAAAAAGGTGACTTACATGAATCGTGTAGATCCGAGGAGATTTTTTTTTTTTTTTTTTGGGGGGGGGGTCGGGGTCGGGGTCGGGAGATTTATTTATTTATTTTTTAATTATCAAGTGATTGACTTAATACGTAAACTGAACACTTCAGAAATCGGCCCTTTAAATGACACTTTGACGGTCAGCAAATCCTCCTGGCTGCCTCGCTGACGAGAACCAATCATGCGCACACTCTTCATGTGTACTTGGAGTACTTGGAGAGCCTGTGGTAGCATTGCAAAGCTGCGAGAACGAGAACCAGGACTTATCCACGCCGGTGTTGTGCCGTAGAATGCCCCCCTGACGAGAGCGCGGTTGAAAGTACGTAACAAGGCGAAATAATCGAAGTTTTCCTTACCGTTGGACGGATTCAAAAGCGTGTGCCTTTAATGATTTCATTCAGGTTATACAGATTAGCCGAAAACAATAGCCCTCTGATTCAGAATATTTGCTGTCCCGAAAGTTTATTGTTCTTTACCTTGACTCACCTATTTTTTCAGAGTTTTTTTTTTCGCCAAATACGCCCAACTGAATAAAACATAAACTTATAAAAACTTGAAACCTCTCTGTGAAACGTGCTTGTAAATTGTGGTAAACATCCATGGGCTTTGTGTTCTGTTTGTGCCTGTGTGCGTGTTGCGGTGAACAGCTGTATGATCAGCTGATGCACGTACCCGCGACTGCGCCCTGTGAAACCCCATTCAAAAACTAAAGTATTTTTATTATTAGCACTTCATAGACCACATCCCCGCCCATCTACACCTAGGTGACCACAATATATATTTTTTAGATAATTCGGCACTAGTTCGGCCTGTCAAATCATCTGATCAAAGCCAGTTTATTTACTTTTATCCACAGCGGAGAGCGCGCCCGGCGCTTATTTTCTTTTTTGATGAGCGCCCGGCTCATCAGCTGGCCGAGTACGCGTCACGATGATGCGACTACTCGAGGACCTCGAGTTACGTGACGTTTGCTTTGTTTAGTGCAGTTCAGGCGACGTCTTAGTTATTTGTACACGTTTGCATCATAGCACTCTTCTAAAGCCGCTACAAAATAAACCCAACAGTTTAAAAACAGTAAAAAATAGTAGACCTTCTGAGTACCTTATATGTCAAATTCAAGAAATCATTTGGTAAGTGAAAGTACATATGGGTTAAGAAGTTAGAGGGGGCACTTTTAGATATTAATGTTCAGTTTATCTAGCAAGTTTGCAGCTCATATTAATTTTAATATACCCATTCCACAGAAAACAAGTCACAGAGAGCAGGGCAAACATGTTCAAGAGATTAAAACAGAATACCCTGGATGCATTTCTGGCAAAGAAAAAGAAAGAAATTGACAAAGAGGAAGATAGTAAACATGAAACCAAGGAGGATGGAAGAGAGAATAGGGAAAGTTAGGTGTAGCAGAGAGAGGAGAGTCATTCAGAGATGGAAGGGGAGCAGAGGCACACGGAGGAGGATGGAATAAAAAAAAAATTTAAAATAAATAAAATATATTTAAACAATAAACATCTTGTGTGACTTGTAGCCTAAAAAATTATAATTAAAAAAAACATTTTAAAAAATTTAAGCGCGCGCTTTGCGCGCGCATCATGGACCTCACCTATTCCAAAATCCTGGCTACGGCCCTGGTTTTGAGCCATCTAAAATAGCAAAAGCAGGCATCTGCAAAAAAGCAAGCAGGTGTGACTTGGAGTGTTTTTGGCGCCTCCTGCAGATCACTGAAACACAATGTGGGTGAACAGAGCTCAATATTTTGTTGGGTTGTACAGTGTGCCGGAACGTATTTCCTCCGCACCCTTCTCACCTTTTCAACCCCTGACCCATTTTCATGCTTGCATATGAGAAAGAAAGGTTTAAAATGTGACACTGGTCTAAATCCATGGAGCTGCAATGGGTTGTTGTTTTTATTTTTCCATGCCTCATTGTATTAATCTTACTGGTGTGAGAATCCTAATAAAAGAAAGATTGTATTGGACGAAGAATGTCTGTCATGTTTGTAAATGGCAGCCATGCCTTTTTGTATCGATCAAACTCAGTATATATCTGCCATATGTTGCCACCCCTCAAAAATTCCTGCCCCCCTCTTGCCACCCCATGAATATTTTTCTAGATCCGCCCCTGCTTCTGCCCTGTTCAAAACTAGCAAATGTTTCATTGAAGATATTTTTTTTAACCCTTTAAGAGCCTTTTAACTTTTTCTGTAGTATCAGATTTAATAGACAACTCCTTTGGCGCCACTCAGTGGCCATAACGATTTGTAATCATGTGGATTTTTGGGTTATTTTTGGCGCCCCCTACAACGTAAACCGTGGGGTTCAGCGTCATGATTTGTACAACTTTGAATGGCCATGGGATGTAGATTGGCCTGAGCAAATTTGGTGTCGGTGGGACAAAAGCCTTAGGAGTTAGCCACATTCCAATGTGTGTGAATCGGAAAAAAATGCAAAATAGTCCTTTAACCGTACATTTTACAGATACGTGCGCTTTGACTTTTTCGTAGAACTTATTGAGATACACGTGATTGTCAAATTTTGTGTCAATATGACAAAGCGCACAGGCGTGACACTCAACAATGTGTATTTTCACCTTAGGGGACAAGAAAAAATTGCCTTTTTTCTCCTGCCATGGGGGGGCGCTCTTTTGGGGAGAAAAAATTCCTTCAAAAATGTGTTGATGGCTGGACATTGCATCATCCTAGAAAACTTGGAGGCCAGTGAGGACAAAAATAAAAAGTTATAAGACTTTTAAGAATGTGGATTTTTGGGTTATCTTTGGCGCCCGCTAGAACCTAAACTGTGGGGTGCAGCGTCATGATTTGTACAACTTTGAATGGCCATGGGGAGTAGATTGGCCTGAGCAAATTTGGTGCCGGTGGAACGAAGGCCTTCGGAGGAGTTAGCCACATTCCAATGTGTGCGGATCGGCAAAAAATGCAAAATAGCCCTTTAACCGTACATTTCACAGATACGCCTACACTGACTTTTTTGTAGACCTTATTGAGATACACGTGTGTGTCAATTTTTGTGTCAATATGACAAAGCGTACAGGCGTGACACTCGATAGTGTGAATTTTCACCTTAGGGGGCGCTTTGGAGCCATTTTGCAAATAATTTTTTCAGCGACTTCAGAATATCGAATTTTTTACCAGGCCCGGTCGTCCTGCCAAATTTCATGAGTTTTCGCCAGTGGGAAGTGGGCCATTTTCCCCTTCAAAGGGGAGGAAAAATAAGAAAAAGAAAGAAAGAAAGAAAGAAAGAAAGACTAGGGCCCCGTTGGGGCACTGGCGGGCCCGAGCCGTGTCGCGCCACCCCCAGCGCGACCGCCTACCCCTCCCGATCGCGTCACACTCAAGGTCCAAAGATGGTGTGCGCACTTGTCTGTGGTCATTTACCATTATAATGAATGGGAGGCGCAGTTTCTACCAAAACGCTCGCTGCAGACAAACTCCATGTCCTTTTTGAAAAAAGTCTGGACCATGAGTGAGGGCACAAACACAGCTAGTATATATCCAAATGGCAAGTTGCTCCTCCTTTCGGTTTTGCAGAGAGAGCGATGCGTTTGAGCCATTGAGCGATGGGCAGGAAAAACTTGACTTTTTCTCCTGCCATGGGGGGCGCTCTTTTGGCGTGTAAAAATTCCTTCACAAATGTGTTGATGGCTGGACATTGCATCATCCTAGAGAACTTGGAGGCCAGTGAGGACAAAAATAAAAAGTTATAAGACTTTTAAGACTGTGGATTTTTGGGTTATCTTTGGCGCCCCCTAGAACGTAAACCGTGGGGTGCAGCATCATGATTTGTACAACTTTTAATGGCCATGGGGTGTAGATTGGCCTGAGCAAATGTGGTGCCGTTGGAACGAAAGCCTTCGGAGGAGTTAGCGAAATTCCAATGTGTGCGGATCGGCAAAAAATGCGAAATAACCCTTTAACCGTACATTTGACAGATACGCCCGCACTGACTTTTTTGTAGATCTTATTGAGATACATGTGTGTGTCAAATTTTGTGTCATTTTGACAAAGCGTAAAGGCGTGACAGTCAACAATGTGTATTTTCGCCTTAGGAGACAAGAAAAAATGGACTTTTTTCTCCTGCCATGGGGGGCGCTCTTTTGGCGAGTAAAAATTCCTTCACAAATGTGTTGATGGCTGGACATTGCATCATCCTAGAGAACTTGGAGGCCAGTGAGGACAAAAATAAAAAGTTATAAGACTTTTAAGACTGTGGATATTTGGGTTATCTTTGGCGCCCCCTAGAACGTAAACCGTGGGGTGCAGCGGCATGATTTTTACAACTTTGAATGGCCATGGGGTGTAGATTGGCCTGAGCAAATTTGGTGTCAGTGGGACGAAAGCCTTAGGAGGAGTTAGCCACATTCCAATGTGTGCGAATCGGCAAAAAATGCAAAATAGCCCTTTAGCCGTACATTTTACAGATACGTGCGCTTTGACTTTTTCGTAGAACTTATTGAGATACACGTGATTGTCAAATTTTGTGTCAATATGACAAAGCATACAGGCGTGACACTCAACAATGTGTATTTTCACCTTAGGGGACAAGAAAAAATTGGACCTTTTTCTCCTGCCATTGGGGGGCGCTCTTTTGGGGAGTAAAAATTCCTTCAAAATGTGTTGATGGCTGGACATTGCATCATCCTAGAAAACTTGGAGGCCAGTGAGGACAAAAATAAAAAGTTATAAGACTTTTAAGAATGTGGATTTTTGGGTTATCTTTGGCGCCCCCTAGAACCTAAACCGTGGGGTGCAGCGTCATGATTTGTACAACTTTTAATGGCCATGGGGGTAGATTGGCCTGAGCAAATGTGGTGCCGGTGGAACGAAGGCCTTCGGAGGAGTTAGCCACATTCCAATGTGTGCGGATCGGCAAAAAATGCAAAATAGCCCATTAACCGTACATTTGACAGATACGCCCGCACTGACTTTTTTGTAGATCTTATTGAGATACATGTGTGTGTCAATTTTTGTGTCAATATGACAAAGCGTAAAGGCGTGACAGTCAATAGTGTGAATTTTCACCTTAGGGGGCGCTATGGAGCCATTTTGCAATTTATTGTTTGGGCGACTTCAGAATATCGAATTTTTCACCAGGCCCGGTCGTCCTGCCAAATTTCATGAGTTTTCGCCAGTGGGAAGTGGGCCATTTTCCAGTTTAAAGCGGAGGAAAAATAATAACGAAAGAAGGAAACATGCAGGAACAAGAGGGCTCTCGCAGCTGCTTAGCAGCTACGCTCGGGCCCTAACTAGGGCCCCGTTGGGGCACTGGCGGGCCCGAGCCGTGTCGCGCACCCCCCCCCCAACGCGATCGCCTCCCCGTCCCATTCGCGTCCTCTGGCCATCGCCCTCTCTGGTAAGGCCCATCACTGCAAAGACCCTTTTCCTTCATCGGCGTTTGCTGTTCTTCCTGCCATTACGTGTTGCTTTCACTTACACTTGCCACAGCCAGCCTCATGAGTGCCTGGCCTGGTTTGACCTTTGCTCACCATGATTGTGTGACCTTGGTATCGGCTACTTGGGAAGTTCCACCGTCGTGGCAAAGCTTTGTTTGCGTGCTGTGCTCAACCACCTATTTTCTATGGATGTGTAAGTAAACCACTTTCTTTTCTTACACAATGACACACTCATCTTTTAGGGAGAAAAATTCCTTCACAAATGTGTTGATGGCTGGACATTGAATCATCCTAGAAAACTTGGAGGCCAGTGAGGACAAAAATAAAAAGTTAGAAGACTTTTAAGCATGTGGATATTTGGGTCATCTTTGGCGCCCCCTAGAACGTAAACCGTGGGGTGCAGCATCACGATTTGTACAATTTTGAATGGCCATGGGGTGTAGATTGGCCTGAGCAAATTTGGTGTCGGTGGGACGAAAGCCTTAGGAGGAGTTAGCCACATTCCAATGTGTGCGAATCGGCAAAAAATGTGAAATAGCCCTTTAACCGTACATTTTACAGATACATGCGCATTGACTTTTTCGTAGATCTTATTGAGATACATGTGTGTGTCAAATTTTGTGTCAATATGACAAAGTGTATAGGCGTGACACTCAACAATGTGTATTTTCACCTTAGGGGACAAGAAAAAATGGACTTTTTTCTCCTGCCATGGGGGGACGCTCTTTTGGGGAGTAAAAATTCCTTCTCAAATGTGTTGATGGCTGAACATTGCATTATCCTAGAAAACTTGGAGGCCAGTGAGGACTAAAATAAAAAGTTATAAGACTTTTAAGAATGTGGATTTTTGGGTTTTTTTGGCGCCCCCTAGAACTAAAACCGTAGGGTGCAGCGTCATGATTTGTACAACTTTTAATGGCCATGGGGTGTAGATTGGCCTGAGCAAATTTGGTGCCGGTGGAATGAAAGCCTTCAGAGGAGTTAGCCACATTCCAATGTCCCTTTTGGAGTTAGTTACACCAGAAAAAAAAGTAAAATGAAAAAGAAATATTTGGGGTGTTCGGGCTTCCTGAAGGTAATACCCGGGTATTAGGTTATGGGGCTATGGTAAGTTTTAAGGTTTTTGGCGTTAGGGTTAAAATCACTTTCCAAAACCTTTGTAGAAACTGTTTACCAACCTTTTGGAGTTAGTTAGACCAAAAAAATGAAAAATGAAAAAAAAATATTTGGGGTGTTTGGGCTTCATGAAGGTAATACATGGGTATTAGGTTATGGAGCTTTGGAAAGGTTTAAGGTTTTTGGCGTTAGGGTTAAAATCAATGTCCAAAACCTTTGTAGGAACTCTTTTCCAACCTTATGGAGTTAGTTAGACCAAACAAAAAAAGAAAAATGAAATAAAAAATATTTGGGGTGTTCAGGCTTCCTGAAGGTAATACCCGGGTATTACGTTATGGGGCTAGGGTAAGGTTTAAGGTTTTTGGTGTTAGGATTAAAATCAATGTCCAAAACCTTTTTAGGAAAATGTTTCAGACCTTTTGGAGTTAGTTACACCAAAAAAAAATGTAAAATGAAAAAGAAATATTTGGGGTGTTCGGGCTTCCTGAAGGTAATACATGGGTATTTGGTTAAGGGGTTATGGTAAGGTTTAAGGTTTTTGGCGTTAGGGTTATAATCACTGTCCAAAACCTTTGTTGGAACTGTTTTCCAACCTTTTGGAGTTAGTTAGACCAAAAAAATGAAAAATGAAAAAAAAAAAATATTTGGGGTGTTTGGGCTTCCTGAAGGTTATACCCGGGTATTAGGTTATGGGGCTTAGGAAACATTTAAGGTTTTTGGCGTTAGGGTTAAAATCACTGTCCAAAACCTTTGTAGGAACTCTTTTGCAATCTTTTGGAGTTAGTTAAACCAAAAAAATGACGAAATGAAAAAAAAATATTTGGGGTGTTCGGGCTTCCTGAAGGTAATACCTGGGTATTAGGTTATGGGGCTTAGGAAAGGTTTAATGTTTTTGGCGTTAGGGTTAAAATCACTGTCCAAAACATTTGTAGGAACATGTTTCAGACCTTTTGGAGTTGGTTACACTAAAAAAAATGTAAAATGAAAAAAAAGATATTTGGGGTGTTCGGGCTTCCTGAAGGTAATACCCGGGTAGTAGGTTATGGGGCTATGGTAAGGTTTAAGGTTTTTGGCATTCGGGTTAAAATCACTGTCCAAAACCTTTGTAGGAACTCTTTTCCAAGCTTTCGGAGTTAGTTAGACCAAAAAAAATGAAAAATGAAAAAAAAATATTTGGGGTTTTCGGGCTTCCTGAAGGTATTACCCGGGTATTAGGTTATGGGGCTTTGGAAAGTTTTAGGGTTTTTGGCATTTGGGTTAAAATCACTGTCCAAAACCTTTGTAGGAACTCTTTTCCAACATTTCGGAGTTAGTTAGACCAAAAAAAAGATGAAAAAAATATATATATATATATTTGGGGGGTTCGGGCTTCCTTAAGGTAATACCCGGGTATTAGATTATGGGGCTATGGTAAGGTTTAAGGTTTTTGGTGTTAGGGTTAAACTCACTGTCCAAAACCTTTGTAGGAACTCTTTTCCAAGCTTTCAGAGTTAGTTAGACCAAAAAAAATGAAAAATGAAATAAAAATATTTGTGGTTTTCGGGCTTCCTTAAGATAATACCCGGGTATTAGGTTATGGGGCTTAGGAAAGGTTTAAGGTTTTTGGCGTAAGGGTTAAAATCACTGTCCAAAACCTTTGTAGGAACTCTTTTCCAACCTTTTTGAGTCAGTTAGACCAAAAAAAAAAGGAAAAAAGAAAAAAATATATTTGGGGTTTTCAGGCTTCCTGGAGGTAATACCCGGGTATTAGGTTTTGGGGCTAGGGTAAGGTTTGAGGTTTTTGGCATTAGGGTTAAAATCACTGTCCAAAACCTTTGTAGGAACTCTTTTCCAACCTTTTGGAGTTAGACCAAAAAAGAATTAAAAATGAAAAGAAAATATTTGGGGTTTTCGGGCTTCCTGAAGGTAATACCCAGGTATTAGGTTATGGGGCTAGGGTTAGGTTTTAGGTTTTTGGCGTTAGGGTTAATATCAATGTCCAAAACCTTTGTAGGAACTCTTTTCCAAGCTTTTGGAGGTAGTTAGACGAAAAAAAAAGAAAAATTAGAAAAAAATATTTGTGGTTTTCGGGCTTCCTGAAGGTAATACCCGGGTATTAGGTTATGGGGCTTTGGAAAGTTTTAGGGTTTTTGGCATTAGGGTTAAAATCACTATCCAAAACCTTTTTAGGAACATGTTTCAGACCTTTTGCAGTTGGTTAAACCAAAAAAAAATGTAAAATGAAAAAAAATATTTGGGGTGTTCGGGCTTCCTGAAGGTAATACCTTCAGTATTAGGTTATGGGGCTTAGGAAAGGTTTAAGGTTTTTGGCGTTAGGGTTAAAATCACTGTCCAAAACCTTTGTAGGAACTGTTTTCCAACCTTTTTGAGTTAGTTAGACCAAAAAAAAAAGAAAAATGAAAAAAAAAATATTTGGATTGCAAAAATATATCAAGGTCCAAAGATGGTGTGCGCACTTGTCTGTGGTCATTTACCATTATAATGAATGGGAGGCGCAGTTTCTACCAAAACACTTGCTGCAGACAAACTTCATGACCTATATGAAAAAAGTCTGGACCATGAGTGAGGGCACAAACACAGCTAGTATATATCCAAATGGCAAGTTGCTCCTCCTTTCGGTTTTGCAGAGAGAGCGGTGTGTTTGAGCCATTGAGCGATGGGCAGGAAAAACTTGACTTTTTCTCCTGCCTTGGGGGGGCGCTCTTTTGGTGAGAAAAAAATGACTTCACAAATGTGTTGATGGCTGAACATTGCATCATCCTAGAAAACTTGGATGAGTGGCCAAAACTTCTTTGTCTGCTGTAAAATCAAATTGGATTAATATTTTTTCCAGATTTTTTTTTGTACATCTCTTATTTTACTTCTGCCCTGTTCAAAACTAGCAAATGTTTCATTGAAGATATTTTTTTTAACCCTTTAAGAGCCTTTTAACTTTTTCTGTAGTATCAGATTTAATAGACAACTCCTTTGGCGCCACTCAGTGGCCATAACTACTTTGTCTGCTGTTAATAGACAACTCCCTTTGGCGCCACTCAGTGGCCAAAACAATTTGTAATCATGTGGATTTTTGGGTTATCTTTGGCGCCCCCTAGAACGTAAACCGTGGGGTGCAGCGTCATGATTTTGAACTTTGAATGGCCATGGGTTGTAGATTGGCCTGAGCAAATTTGGTGTCGGTGGGACGAAAGCCTTAGGAGTTAGCAACATTCCAATGTGTGCGAATCGGCAAAAAATGCGAAATAGCCCTTTAACCGTACATTTCACAGATACGTGTGCATTGACTTTTTCGTAGATCTTATTGAGATACACGTGTGTGTCAAATTTTGTGTCAATATGATAAAGTGTATAGGCGTGACACTCAACAAAGTGTATTTTCACCTTAGGGGACAAGAAAAAATGGACTTTTTTCTCCTGCCATGGGGGGGCGCTCTTTTGGGGAGTAAAAATTCCTTCTCAAATGTGTTGATGGCTGGACATGGCATTATCCTAGAAAACTTGGAGGCCAGTGAGGACTAAAATAAAAAGTTATAAGACTTTTAAGAATGTGGATTTTTGGTTTTTTTTTGGCGCCCCCTAGAACTTAAACCGTAGGGTGCAGCGTCATGATTTGTACAACTTTTAATGGCCATGGGGTGTAGATTGGCCTGAGCAAATTTGGTGCCGGTGGAACGAAAGCCTTCAGAGGAGTTAGCCACATTCCAATGTGTGCGGACCGGCAAAAAATGCGAAATAGCCCTTTAACCGTACTTTTCACAAAAGCACCTGCACTGACTTTTTCGTAGACCTTATTAAGATACACGTGTGTGTCAATTTTTGTATCAATATGACAAAGCGTACAGACGTGGTTTTTGGCGTTAGGGTTAAAATCACTGTCCAAAACCTTTGTAGGAACTCTTTTCCAACCTTTTGGAGTTAGCTAGACCAAAAAAAAAAACGAAAAATGAAAAAAAAAATGTTTGGGGTTTGAAGGCTTCCTGAAGGTAATACCCGGGTATTAGGTTACGGGGCTAAGGTTTTTGGCGTTAGGGTTAAAATCACTGTCCAAAACCTTTGTAGGATCTGCTTTTTCAACCTTTTTGAGTTAGTTAGACAAAAAAAAAAAAAAACGAAAAATGAAATGAAAATTTTTTTGGGTGTGGGTCCATGTTAATTTTGTTGACGAAAAATTTTCGTCATAGTCATCGTCAACGACCTTTTTTTTCTGACTAAAACGAGACGATAACTTGATAAAAAGTAATTCACAAGGCCTAAGACGATAACGAAGTGTATTGACATGTTTGTCAACGAATAAAAACGAGACGAAAATGTCTGGCAAGGATCCAATCAGAGCTCATTTTGTTTGTGGAAGGAAATGACGATTTTAGAAAGAGGCGGGAGGAGTTGGGAGGGAGAACCAATCAGAGCGACGTGGTTAGGATGTTTGAGACCGAGCCCGGCAAAGGCGAAATGTCCCCGCGCTCCTCGTCGTGCTCAGCTGAAAATGTCAACAACAGCAGGGAGGAAGAGGCGTCAGGATGTGTGGACGCACTTTACTTTTGATTTAAAGGACAACAAAACACTTTGCAAAAACTGTGGAGCAAAAATAACCGGGAAAAACACAACGAATCTGAAGAGGCACCTGGAGTCGAGCCACCATGATATATACGCTCAGGTAAGCATGAATGAATGAATGGATGAAACCTGCTCCATAACGTTAACGTAACGTTACATTTTAACATAACACACAAGGCTCTGAACATACGTGAACTCACTCACTAGCCTGGTTATTTTTTTGCTCTTTTGTTAAACCCACACCGCCATGTGCATTTTCTTTCAACGGGGGCTCTCTGATAAATCAATCTCGTTAATTATCATTTAACGTTACGGTGCGGGTCGTCGGGGGCGATACCAATACACCACTGCTGTTCTGTTAAGCTAAAGGTACCTGCTGGCTGCTGATTTAAATGCATATAATTCATTTAACTATTTTGTTGGTGTTAAAAATGAACTCTACCGTCCTTTTTTCTTCATCACAGCTACAGAAGACTTCAGGTGACCTCGATGGGCCACAGGGTGCCAAGAAAAAGAAAGGAACAGTTTTGGCTGCCTTTTTGAATGTTTTGAAACATAAATAAAATGAATTACAAGTGGAATCTGTCTGTGTGTTAATTGAACACAGGTTTATTGTTGTAAAGGTAATGACTTTCAGAAAATGTACATATTATTACCCTTTACACACTTTTTAGTTGACTAAATCTATTGTAATTTTCATCGACTAAAACTCTTGTGATATTAGTCGACTAAAACTAGACTAAACTAAAAAGATTTCAGATGACTAAAATATGACTAAAACTAAGTAGTGTTTTAGTCAAAAGACTAAGACTAAAACTAAATCAGAATTTGTTGTCAAAATTAACACTGGTGTGGGTAAGAGATAGAGTGATAGCCCCCACATTCGTCAGTTGCCTTGGCGGTTTGGGGTAGGCTGATCAAGGGCTTGCACTGGCCGGCACATGTCGACCTGTCACATGTTCCCAGTCGAGTCTCCGAGCTCAATCTGTGTGTAAAAATTATGTGTTGGTAGAAAGTTTAATGACTCAGCTCAGTTGGTATGCTATGCTGTCTATCTTTTAGACTATGTGTTTGTAGAGCAATTATTTTTGGAGGTTCAGTTAGGGAGTAGAGTTGGTATGGTTAAGTGTTAAAATAATAATAATAATAATAATAATAATAATAATAATAATAATAATATTATTATTATTAATAATAATTTTTCTTATTGAGAAGGACTAGGTGGTGTTCGTAGGGAGGGAATAGGGTGAATTTTATCTATAGGAGTAGGGTTATGGTGCATTAGTGCAAAGTCTCAGAGGTGCCACAAACTTCAAACACGACACAAACTCAAGTTCAAAAACACCACAGACTCAAGTTCAAAAACGACACAAACTGAAGTTCAACAAACAAAACTAACTATTAAGAGTAATTTTGAGGTGTTTTTCGTAGACTTACCCTAGTGGTCCTATGTTGTTGTTGATGTGAGGCGTTTCTTTTCCAGTAGTCTAAAATCTGTTGGAGGGGGGGAAAAGGTTCCAGCTGTCCAGCCGCGGCGGCAGCGGTGTGTCTGAAGTCCGGGGTCCTCGGCGGGGGAAAGAAGATAGGCGCTCCGCGGGAAGGTTTGCTGGGACTCGGTGCCGTCGGCGGGGCGAAGCTCGGTGGTGGGCGGCTTGGAGTGATGGAGGTGCGGCGTCTTCCTCGAGGCGGTGGTCCGTCTTCTTGGTCCAGTGGTCAGTGCTCATTTACAGGAACAGGAATTGCTGTTTAGTGCACAGCACTTAATTGTGCTTTTGACAGGAGAAGACATCCTCAGAGTTGGGCTCCAGTCATGGTTTGTGCTGTTCCTCTCAGACATGGTTGTGTTCTCTTCTCGATGTTTGTATTCCAGAATGGATGTCTCTTGGTTGTATTTTAAACTTTCAAGTTGTTTTAAGTTAATTTTAATGTAGTTTTGTTTTAAATTGAGTTTTGCTACATTAAATTTGTATGCAATGGTAAGGGATTGTGGGTATTTTAGTTCTCAGGGATGAGAGCCTAAGGAATCAATCTTCCTGTTACAGCAAAGGATTGTGGGTAAAACCGTGAGTGAGGGAGGTACATTTTTCCTGGCATGAGAACCTCAGGAGTCAGTCCTTCCTAAGAAAAAAGAGGGGAGGGGGAAGAAAAACAAAAGCACAGGAACCCTAAAATAAAATAAAATAAAATAATATAAAACAATGAAAAAATAAAAAAATAAAAGAAGAACAAAAGTGGATTGCAAAAGGGAAAGGGGAAGAAAAAAGGAAAAAAAGAAGTGTCAAGAGCAAATAGCAAAAATCAGAAGTGAGCTTAAAAACAGAGAACAGTTCCCTAAAAGACAGACAGAAATGTAAATTTGATCAATGTCCTAAGGGAAAATCTGTACGTGTATGTGTGTTCTTTTTTGCAAGCTTAGTCTGGTGTCACTGATGGTCAGTTATTAATAAGTATTTATTATTTAAATTTTTGATGAAGTTGTTTGTAGTGGGGTTAGCTGGCTAATTTTAGAGTGTTAAAAAAGATGTTAGAGGGGGAGGATTTAGGGGGCACGGCGGTTCCCCTTCAGGTCTCTCTTAATCCTCCATATAGGTGACCCAACAGGGGTTACCCCCCGGCCTGGGTAGGCCTAGGCTGAAGATCACCTATTTGTCCTCTGTGAAGGTGAAAATAAAGGGGCAGGGGAGGGAATAAGAAAGAGGGGGTGTGTTAGAGAGAGGGGGAGAGATGAGGGAGAGAGATGAGGGAGAGAGAGAGAGGGGTGTGTGTGTGTGTGTGTGTGTGAGAGAGAGAGAGAGAGAGAGAAGGGAAGAGGGAGAGGGGGGTTTAAGGGAGAGGTGGAGATGGTGGAAAATAAAGGTTGGTGAGGGGGATTTGGTGGCGGATGAAACATCCCATAGCTCCCCTGCTCTCACCATCCATGTGAGGAGAGTGAGCAAGGGACATAGTCCCCCGACCCGACTAGGTCTAGGCTCTGCTCTCCTCACGGTCCTCACAAGATACAAAGAGATATGTAAACGTGGAAGTGAGAGTTCTCTAGGCAGAGTTTTGGGTTTGGTTTGAGCTGAGTTGGTCAGTTGATTATTGATTACTATTTTAAGTTCTAAAAGTGGATAGAGTCAAAAAGTCACAGAGGATTGTGGTGGGAGCAGGTGGTCCGTCTGGCACCATTCTGCTCATGCAGGGATTCGAGTGATAGAAAGAGAATAGATCTTGCCACCGTGACTCGCCATTGAGACTCTCCTCACCTGCTGGTTTTCATCCTCTGATAGGAGAGAGAGGTACAGATCAGGAGAGAGGGAGAAAAGGAGGGAGGCAGGGTGGGGTCAGTAGTTAATTTGTCTTGAAAAGTTTTTATCTTTTCGTCATTGCTGTTAGGGTTTAGATGTTTTTTGTTTAGTTATCTGAGGAATGTAGTGTTAGTATAGGTTCCAAGGTGGAGAATTCTTTGGAATTCACTTTCACCCTTGAAACTGGAAGATCTTAGATTCTATAAAGGGGGGGGGGGGTTGTGTGCACAGAAGGAGCATGGGCTCAGACTATTCTCTGAATGATATTGTGACAAGTCTGTCCGAACGCAAGTGGCTGGTTAGGTGTGGGAAAGAGATAGAGTGATAGCCCCCGCTTTTGTCAGTTGACTTGGCGGTTTGGGGTAGGCTGATCAAGGGCTTGCACTGGCCGGCGCATGTCGACCTGTCACATGTTCCAGTCGAGTCTCCGAGCTCAATCTGTGTGTAAAAATTATGTGTTGGTAGAAAGTTTAATGACTCAGCTCAGTTGGTATGCTATGCTGTCTATCTTTTAGACTATGTGTTTGTAGAGCAATATTATGTATATATTATGTTACAGGGCTAGGAAAAGGTTAAAGGTTTTTGGTGTTAGGGTTAAAATCACTGTCCAAAACCTTTGTAGGAACTCTTTTCCAACCTTTTGGAGGGAGCTAGACTAAAAAAAAAAAAAATAATAATAATGAAAAAAAAGTTTTTGGGGGTGTTAAGACTTCCTGAAGGTAATACCCAGGTATTAGGTTACGGGGCTAGGGTAAGGTTTAAGGTTTTTGGCGTATGGGTTAAAATCACTGTCCAAAACCTTTGTAGGAACTCTTTTCCAACCTTTTGGAGTTCGTTAGACCAAAAAAAAGAAAAAGAAAAAAAAATGTTTGGGGTGTTAAGGCTTCCTAAAGGTAATACCCGGGTATAAGGTTATGAGGCTATGGTAAGGTTTAAGGTTTTTGGCGAAAGGGTTAAAATCACTGTCCAAAACCTTTGTAGGAACTCTTTTCCAACCTTTTGGAGTTATTTACACCAAAAAACAATGAAAAATGAAAAAAAAATATTTGGGGTTTTCGGGCTTCCTGAAGGTAATACCCGGGTTATTAGGTTATGGGGCGAGGGTAAGGTTTAAGGTTTTTGGCGTTAGGGTTAAAATCACTGTCCAAAACCTTTTTAGGAACATGTTTCAGACCTTTTGGAGTTGGTTACACCAAAAAAAATGTAAAATGAAAAAAAAATATTTGGGGTGTTCAGGCTTCCTGAAGGTAATAACCGTACTACTCGGGTATTAGGTTATGGGGCTAGGGTAAGGTTTAAGGTTTATGGCGTGAGGGTTAAAATCACTGTCCAATATTTTTTAAGGAACATGTTTCAGACCTTTTGGAGTTAGTTAAACCAATAAAATGAAAAATGAAAAAAAAATATTTGGGGTTTTCGGGCTTCCTGAAGGTAATACCCGGGTATTAGGTTATGGGGCTAGGGGAAGGTTTAAGGTTTTTGGCGTTAGGGTTAAAATCACTGTCCAAAACCTTTTTAGGAACATGTTTCAGAACTTTTGGAGTTTGTTACACCAAAAAAAAAATGTAAAATGAAAAAAAAATTTATTTGGGGTGTTCGGGCTTCCTGAAGGAAATACCCAGGTATTAGGTTATGGGGCTATGGTAAGGTCTAAGGTTTTTGGCATTAGGGTTAAAATCACTGTCCAAAACCTTTGTTGGAATAAGTTTCAGACCTTTTGGAGTTAGGTAGACCAAAAAGAAATGAAAAGTGAAAAAATATTTGGGGTGTTCGGGCTTCCTGAAGGTAATACCCAGGTATTAGGTTATGGGGCGAGGGGAAAGTTTAAGGCTTTTGGCGTTAGGGTTAAAATCACTGTCCAAAACCTTTGTAGGAACTCTTTTCCAAGCTTTTGGAGTTAGTTAGACCAAAAAAATGAATAAAAAAATATTTGGGGTTTTCGGGCTTCCTGAAGGTAATACCCAGGTATTAGGTTATGGGGCTAGGGGAAGGTTTAAGGCTTTTGGCGTTAGGGTTAAAATCACTGTCCAAAACCTTTGTAGGAACTCTTTTCCAACCTTTTGGAGTTAGTTAGACCAAAAAAAAAAAAGAAAAATGAAAAAAAATATATTTGGGGTGTTCGGGCTTCCTGAAGGTAATACCCAGGTATTAGGTTATGGGGCTAGGGTAAGGTTTTAGGTTTATGGCGTTAGGGTTAAAATCACTGTCCAAAACCTTTTTAGGAACATGTTTCAGACCATTTGCAGTTGGTTAAACCAAAAAAAAAAAAGTAAAATGAAAAAAAAAATATTTGGGGTGTTCGGGCTTCCTGAAGGTAATACCCGGGTATTAGGTTATGGGGCTAAGGTAAGGTTTAAGGTTTTTGGCGTTAGGGTTAAAATCACTGTCCAAAACCTTTGTAGGAACTCTTTTCCAACCTTTTGGAGTTAGTTAGACCAAAAAAAAATGAAAAATGAAAAAAAAAATATTTGGGGTGTTCGGGCTTCCTGAAGGTAATACCCCGGTATTAGATTATGGGGCTATGGTAAGGGTTAAGGTTTTTGGCGTTAGGGTTAAAATCATTGTCCAAAACCTTTTTAGGAACATGTTTCAGAACTTTTGGAGTTTGTTACACCAAAAAAAAAAATGTAAAATGAAAAAAAATATATTTGGGGTGTTCGGGCTTCCTGAAGGAAATACCCAGGTATTAGGTTATGGGGCTATGGTAAGGTCTAAGGTTTTTGGCATTAGGGTTAAAATCACTGTCCAAAACCTTTGTTGGAATAAGTTTCAGACCTTTTGGAGTTAGGTAGACCAAAAAGAAATGAAAAGTGAAAAAAAAAATATTTGGGGTGTTCGGGCTTCCTGAAGGTAATACCCAGGTATTAGGTTATGGGGCGAGGGGAAATTTTAAGGCTTTTGGCGTTAGGGTTAAAATCACTGTCCAAAACCTTTGTAGGAACTCTTTTCCAAGCTTTTGGAGTTAGTTAGACCAAAGAAATGAATAAAAAAATATTTGGGGTTTTCGGGCTTCCTGAAGGTAATACCCAGGTATTAGGTTATGGGGCTAGGGGAAGGTTTAAGGCTTTTGGCGTTAGGGTTAAAATCACTGTCCAAAACCTTTGTAGGAACTCTTTTCCAACCTTTTGGAGTTAGTTAGACCAAAAAAAAAAAAAAGAAAAATGAAAAAAATATATTTGGGGTGTTCGGGCTTCCTGAAGGTAATACCCAGGTATTAGGTTATGGGGCTAGGGTAAGGTTTTAGGTTTTTGGCGTGAGGGTTAAAATCACTGTCCAAAACCTTTGTAGGAACTCTTTTCCAACCTTTTGGAGTTAGTTAGACCAAACAAAAATGAAAAATGAAAAAAAAATATTTGGGGTTTTCGGGCTTCCTGAAGGTAATACCCGGGTATTAGGTTATGGGGCTTTGGAAAGTGTTAGGGTTTTTGGCATTAGGG